TGCGGTTGTGGGCTGGTAAATATGTCCTGAATAAAGGCTCAGGGCAGCGACGATCCAGCCCCAGCTGTGTGCTCAGATCCCCAGGCAAAGGGGCCGATAGCAGTCTTTCCCTGTGTATGGATGTAGTGGGGGCTACGTGGTCCAGTGCTGGACACTGCATTGAGTGTGGCACGTGTGCCTGGGCTCGGGAGGGATAATAAAGGCAAAAATGAGATAAAATAAAATAGGATAAAATAAAATAAAATAAATAAATAAAATATGAAATAAAATTAACCCCCCCTGCTCACAGACACACAGACACACTCCTGGTTTCTCCCTGTAAAGTCTCGGGGGTGGCACAACCCACAAAGCCTCTGACCAAACACCATCAGGGGGTCACCATCCGCTGCCTCCCGCGACACCCCGCAGGTATCAATGCTCCTGGGCGCAAAACCCGCAGCCTCCCTCCCCTCTCCCCCGCCGCCATGCGATTGCCGGTGCCGCAACACGCTGGGGCATGGGGACTTTTTCTGATGGTCAGCGTGGCACAGCACACTCGGGCAGGGGACAGGGCAGGGGACGAGGGGGTTGGTGCGGGGCCACCTCTGGTTTCTGGAACCGAAGGTGCCAATTTGAGAGCCAGGCGAGGATGCTCGCAGCGGTTGTGACTTGCCGCAGCCCCGAGCAGAGATGCTGCAAGCCAGGCCCTGTCGCACCACAGGATTTTGGTCATTTAACCAAGTTTTTGACAGATATTTTTATCTGCCCTCTGATTTCTGGGGGGATGTCTGGGCGTGCACTTCCCTGCTGCTCTGAGGCTTTGTATATGGAAATGTATAGATAGCTATAGCTATAGGTAGAGATGATGTAGGTAGAGATGATATAGATATAGATGCAGATAATATAGATAGATGTAGATGTAGAAGTAGATATAGATGGTATGGATATGGATATGGTTATAGCTATATAGACAGATGAGATATAGATATAGATATAGATGTAGAAGAACTTTATAAGAGGCACAGAAAAGAGGGATTTGCAGAGATTCGTCTCCTTTCAGACTAAGGTATTTGAGGACCAAACCAGCAGCTACCCGGGTAGCCCAACATGTAGAGTTGAATAAAGGACTGAAAAAACTTTCAGGCTCCATCCTATATATTCTTGGGACTTCCCGGTGTAAACCGAATGTATCCACTTGGGTTGGATTCAGTTGGATTTGTTGGCTGCCCCTGCAAATGTGCCCAAAACATGACCCGTGCTGAGCGGTTCTTGCGTCACCGCTGCTCCAAGCTGTCCCTTCTCCCAGGCACGGCCAGGGGTTCACATGTTGAGTGTGAAATCCAATATTTTGGGGAAAAAAAAATCATGTCTGTAAGAATTTCCTACTTTAGTGGGAAATAAATCCAAGTGTTAATTAATTAGCTTGTGCTGCCGCAAGCTCGTAGACCCAAAGTGCCATTTCTAGGCTGCTACAAACAGTTGGGTCCTTGGGGTTGCTCCTATAAATCATATTTTGGGTTTAACCTGGGCTGGCATCCACTTCCAGATAAAGACACACACACACACACACAAAGTTAATTCAGAGCTTTGCTGAGCAATGCTCTCATTTTTCAGGCTGTCGCTCTTTTCTCTGAAATAGCCATTCAGCCCCAAATCCACAAAGCAAACTGGCAAAAGATCTTCCCCAGAAATCCCCTTGGCATGACCTGAGGGTGTCCCGCCTGTGTCTCGTTTTTTATGAGCCTGATTAGGTGATTTTTCAGCAAAAAGCTGTTTTGCCCAAGGACGTTTGTCCGTCTCTAGCCCTTTCTCATAGTCACTGGGTAAAGAGACAATTTTTTTACCTGCAGTGAGCGGATGGCCCCGTTTCTCCTGTGTCCAGAGGCCAAAAAGGAGTTTTTTCAGCCTTTATGGTTAATGAAGCATCTGGCCCCGATGGGTCCTGGGGACCCCGAATGCTGTTGGCTCCTCCAGCCGCTTTGCAGGTGGGGAGGGCCATGCCCGTCTCTGCAGCGGCATTGTGCTGCGGTGATTGGGCACCCTGCGGTGTTTTTGGGGTGGTTGGTGGGGTTTGGCCGGGCTGGAGGAGGTGAGACCCATGGTCGGCATCTCGGCTCCTTGCAGGCGGCCAGCGAGTGCGGGTCCGGCAGCTCATCCTGCAGCCCCGAGTGGAGCAGCCAGCTGGAGTTCGGCACCAACCCTGCGGGTAAGGTCCTCCCCACCTCGCCCCAGCGTCCTGCAGCCTCGCTGGGCTCTGAGGTGGGGGGACAGCAGTGGGGAACACCGCAGCCCTGGAGCAGAGAGCATCGCTGAGCCAACCCCCCCCCCTCCAGGCAGGAGATGCTCAGAGTGGAGGACAAAAGGAGCCTTGTCCTTGTTCTCCCCACCTGCTGTTGCAGAGAGATGAGCTCATAAATCCTCCAGCACCTCCTTGGCTCAATGCTCAGCGCGTTCAGGCTTCTCCCACTGCCTGATTTCACCAAGATGCCTACTCTTAGGAGCTGAGAAACCAGACTACAGCAGCCCAGGGCCCTGGCGGCTTGGTCCCCATCAAGGGTTCGTCCGTCGCCATCCCTTGTCTTGGCTTTGCCCACTGCGGTGCTGAGCATCGCTGAGCATCACTGCCCTGAGCTCCCTTTCCCTCCCCCTCCCTGCAGCTGCTGATTTTTTTTTTCCATTATTGCAGTTATCCCCCCGCTGCCAAATCCACCTGTTTTTTTCCCCAGAAGGCAGAAACTTAAATCTCATTTTCCAATGGGGAATAAAACCTAAAGTGTGTCCGAAAGTTTCACTCACCACTGCCCTCTCCAGGGAAAGGTCTCATACCCCCCCCAGGGTGGGAGCTTGAAGCGGGTCCCCAGGTCACTCTGGCCATGCGGGCGATCATGGGGTCCCCCCTGCGCGGAGCCAGGAGCCATCCCCAGCACATGGTCCCCGTCCCCAGCAAAGTCATCATCCGCTTGCTCTCTGCAGATCACCTCCTGGCCGACGACACGGCAGAGGACCGCAACCTCCACTCGCTCTCCTCCATCGTGGAGAGCATCGCCGTGGAGGACGTGGCTGTGACGTTCCAGGAGGAGCGGGTTCAAAACTGAGCCGGCGCAAACCCCGGCAGCTCTTTGAGCTGGTAACGGGGTGGGAATGAGACGCCGGAAGGGTCCAGCCGCTGGACATCGG